AGAAGAAGAAGAATGAGATATAACGGAGTAAGATGAAAAAGAGCAAGCGGAAGAAGAAGAAGAAGAAGTAATGGAGTAAGATGAAAAAGAGCAAGCGGAAGAAGAAGAAGAAGAAGAAACGGAATAAGAAAAAGAGGAAGAAGAAGAGGAGGAGGAAGAAGAAGAAGAAGAAGAAGAAGAAGAAAGAGGCCGAATAAGAAAAAGAGGGAGAAGAAGAAGAAGAAGAAGAAGAAGAAGAAGAAGAAGAAGAAGAAGAAGAAAGAGGGAGAAGAAGGAGAAGAAACGGAAGAAGAAAAAGAAGTCATTTAGGTAATTTTAATTTGGAGAAAAATTTAGGTAAAACCGTTTTAGGTAGAAACAAGTAACATGAAAATGAGAATGACAAAGAAAAAGAAGAAAGGACTTCAAAGAGAAGAACAGCAACAACATCAAGAAGAAGAAGAAAAAGTAGAAGAACAATAATGAATGTTCATCAAGGGAATCATAATGTTATGAGGTCGATAAGGAAGAGAAATCGATGTGGAAGTCGAGTGATGGAAAAAAAGGTTAGCAGAACAACAGGAAGAAAAGTTTGCCCAAGGAAAAGAGAGAAAACAAGCACAACACGAATGGAAAAGTAAAAAAGAAAAAAAAAGATAAGGGTAGATATAAGAGGGTAGAAATTCTAGGTGAGTATAAGGAGCAGGTAAGGCAGGTGAAATTAGAAAAGCCATTGAATGGGATAAAAGCAAAGTGAGTTGTCTTTTCATGCTTGTGGAATTGAGCCAATGGTGCGTAAAAAGATTAAAAGTCCGGTGAGTAAGACGCGTGCTGTTTCGATCGTCTGGCTTCGGTGACCACTCCTTCAATGAATTTTCCATCACGGATCTTTCAAATGTTTCACGCGTTCGTGCGCAGGAATCATTCAAAGAGATGCCAAAAGTTGCTAGACAAATGCTAGAACTCTCAAAATGTTAGTCGGCGAAACAAAAGTGGCGGACTTATGTCAACAGATAGACCGATGATTCATTTCTACTATCAAACACTACCCCAACTAAAAAAAAAAAAGTTTTAATGGCATCGAAATGTATCATTAAAATAAAACGCACAAACTCATAAAATAGTATATATCTCCATATCTTAATTTATATCAAATTGAAGAAAAGATAGATATGCGCATGGTGTAACATTTATTTTCGCTGAATATGGAATAGACGAAGAAGGTCCAAATTCTGATTGAGTCCTAAGTTAGTTTTCTTCATTCCCATTGAAAAAAAAAACCTTCTTTCTCCAGCTATGAACTAAATAATAGGGTAGACGAATTTTTCTTCCTCTAGCTAGCAGTCAGTCTAGAAGGAAAACACTGAATTTAAGCATCTTATATACATGGAAAGAATAATGAAGAGTGGTCTCTTTGCTCTTGGTATGGCAAGAAGTCTGTGAATTCAAATCCAGCCTGAAGAGATATGGATGATACAAGGCTCAAGACTAACTCAAGGTAGAGGATTATGGAATTAGGTTGTTTTATGGGTGTAAGAGGGGGAAGTAAGAGGTATATAATATGAGAATTGATAATGGTTGGAGATAGTAGTAATATCAGTTTGTGTCACAGTTATTTGGAAGAAGCAATCCGAATACAACTTTAGCAATGTAATACGCGGGGAATTAGGATGACTCGACCCTGTGTATGCGGCATGAGGGGTCTTAGCTGTAAAAGTCTGAACTGATGGAACTAAGGAATATAGCTTTTTTTTTTCTCTTCCATTTTTTTTAATCATTTCGCCTCAAGCAAAGCAATGAAGCCAATAACACGCATGGGGGGTATTAGAGAATATGAGACAAAGAAAACTTTATTAAGAGGCGTGAAACCGTTGGTGACAATTTAACAAAGTTAAATTATGGCAGAATTTAAAATTGAAACCTAAGTATCTCTGTATCTTAAGCCTTTCTTAATATGGAACATGCAGATATGGACTTTTAAAAAAAGAGTTACAAAGTAAGGAACAAGTCCCTAAGCATGGACAGCGGACCAACAACAAGTATAGGCTTTAATTCGAAATTTCCTTGACGGTTAATCGGATCGATACATAAGTACGGAAAGCCGATACTTTTGGATAATGACAACAAAGATGAGGACATTAATCGTGATATATGCTGGACTCTCCCGTCGTATTTTTGACGTATGAGGGTGAAGCATCTCAGTTCCCAGGAACCGACAGCCAGACACCAGCACATATGATTTGATTATAGTGGTGAAGGTTTTGTGCAGAACCAACCCCATTTTTTGAAAGGACGAATACAGATGCCACAATGTCCCCAAACGACCTTCCGCAGGTTTTGAATTCAGAGTTGTCTTTCTCCTAGACCAGTTGCCATCCAAGGCTATAGAACCCAATCTGTCCTGCTATTTACCCATAGCTGGAGGGAGAAGAATAGGATTCATTCATTCGCACGTAATATCAGTTTGTGTCACAAGTGAATGTAATGGATTCACGTAAGTGAATGTAATGGATTCGACTGGAAATCGAACTCGGATCTCTGATCCCTCAATCCGAGCCGCTATCCATTACTCCACTGTCCCTCCTCCGGATATATATTACGTTAGTAGTCATCTTATAGCATTCCAGAAATTCGTAGATCCATTGATCAGGTTCTTTTGTTTAAGGTTATTCACACATTAGAAGGCTCAAGAGCCACTCAAGTTAAAGGGTTGCTGATTGAGGTTGTTTCATGTAGAGAACTGTTGTTGCCAAAAATGAAGTTAAGATTGTAGTTATGGAATCATCCTCCAGCGAGCCTGTTACAAAAAAAGTAATGGCTCTTGTGAAGAAGCGGCCCGAATGGAACTTACTTTTTACCAATATAATACGGGAGGAATTAGAATGACTCAACCCTGTGTATGCGGCATGACGAATCCCAGCTCTGAAGGACTGAACGGGTGATACTAAACTGGTGCTCTTCAGAACATTTTCCAGAAATATCGCGATAGACAATCGAGAGTCTTGCAACGTTTCGCCTGTAGGAAAGAGCTCGTAGGGTGGAAATAATTATTCACCCACAAGGCTGCGTAAAGCTAGAGATTGAGACTGTACGCTCCGGACTTCTTCCGGTTATTGGAATTTCGAAATTAACCCGTTAATCTAGTTCCACGTGCCATGTCTCTTCCGGATGTTTCAGTGAAAAATACGAAAACTTAAGGAGTCAGTACATATGCTAGGCCACAAAAATCTCCTGAGCAGGCCGAACATAGAAATGAATACTATTTGGGAACCAATAATACAGAGTAATAGAAAAAAGCAATAATAACAATATAAATTGCAATATGAGCTCTGGTAAAAATGGTTCCTGAGATATTAACTTTATAAGCCCCAAAAATGTATATACTGATGTGTTTAAGTACAAATGGATAAAGGTGTTGGTTGGATCCAGTGATTTGACCCAAAAGAGTTGTAAGTTCAAAAACTTGGAGATTTGAATTAAAGGGAGATAGCTGAGGCATCCGGAAGAGGCATGTGGAACTAGAACAATCTCCCCTGGTGAACGAAATAGTTTTCAGTTGGAAATTCCAATCACCTGAAGAGGGTCAGAGCGTGCAAATGCCGAAACTTCGTGAACATGGCAATAGAGATGAGGACAATGAACCGAACGATGTAAATAAAGAAAATAATTCTTCTTACAATATTTTTCGACATTAAATAATTCACAAAAAATTGAAAAACCGTAAATATCACCGTCCTTGGTATGACGATAAACTACATCCGCATCCTGAGTAAGATGATAAAATACATCTGACAGCAAGGTCTCTGATCAGGAGGTTTTGAAGAGCTTAGAACCATCTCTTAATTTCTGAAGTTCCCAGGACCACCATGAATAAATATATATATATATATATATATATATATATATATATATATATATATATAAATTTCCAAGAGCATAGAATCCACGTAGAACTCAATGTTCAGGACAGAGTAAGAATATAATAAAAAGGCTTAAACGCTAATATTCCATGGTTGCAATTTATTACATTGGAATCGTAATTACGATCCAACTCATCAGACCTACAAATTCAAAATATATATGTATGTATATTACAGTAACGTTAATCCTGTACAAGGCCCGGGGCCACTCAAAGTAGAGGGTTACGTTAGAAGTCAGTTTGTACGGATAAGAGGGGAAGGTAACATTGTGGGGAATATATCCTCTTGGGAATCGGTTTCACAGAGTAGTCATTCGCAGGAAGAAGCTGTTTGAGTGAAGCTTACTTCTTACTGATGGAGTACGGGGGGAATGTAGTTGGTCTGTTACAATATAAGTGGCAGGCAAAGTCCTAGTGATGAAGGTTAAACCTGGCGAGACCAGGCAATGTAGTTCGTCCGAGCATTTTTAGCGATAGAGCAGATAGAGTTTGCCACATCCCGCCTATGAGAGAAAAGGTTGGAGGGTGGGAAATAATTCGTCACCTACAAGGACTCGGAGGCGCTTCTGAACTCTCTCGAGACCGGAAAGTGCTCCTGCTCAAATATGACAACAGTACTCCATACGTGGATTGATCTGGCTCTTGTGAAGTTAGAGGATAGCATGAGGAATCAGGTACTTATCGGAGCGGTACAAGGAGCCGATCATTTTACCCAGCCTCTTTAGAGATGGCTCTCGTATATACAGGCCCAATATACGCCTATGAAGGTGCGTGCACACATGCATACATATCTGCATACATACAGATTGATTGGCATACGACCAGACATTCAAAGGTCTCCTGGAAGAAGATGCAAACAGTAATAATTCGACCCGAACAACTATACACAGTGAAAGATATGCAGACATATAGAAAATCTGTTTTCGTTTTTTTTATGAATGTTTTTACAGACGCGATATATTTTAAGAATATTGTCGATTTTTATGCAAGCGTTTCACATGAAACCCTCAAAATCAGACGCATCCGTCCGTTTAGATTATCGTTGAAACGACTTGAGCGTGAATTACTAAGAGAGACGAGCTGTATCGTCAGCTCTCTCAATATGCAACACACCTTACTCTCCTTCACTCCTCCTTTCTCACTTAATGTCCGTTTTCTCGTCTGTATTTTTTAATATTACTTTTAGGCTTTTATTATTATTATTATTATTATTATTATTATTATTAATATTATCTTGCGCCTACTCTTCAATATCTATTTCTCCTCATTTTCAAACTCCCCAGAACGTAGGCGATCATGGCTCTCCACAGATTCCTTTTTATTTCTTATCAGAAAATTACGATTACCTCTTTTATTATCTTTTTAATATTATTATTGCTTATTTTTTAGATCCTCATTTTATTCCTTTTTCGTCTTATCATTCTTTTTCATTTCTTATCCATTTCTTCCAAATCTTTCCTTCTTGTTCTCCCCCTACTACTACTACTACTACTACTACTACTACTACTACTACTATTACTATTACAACATCTACTACTACTGCGGCGGCGGCTGATACGACTGCTACTGATACTGCTACTACGAAATCTCCGCAGAGATTTCTTCATCTTTTTTTGCTTCAGCTTTCCTTTAATTTTAATTTCTACCCCCTATCAACTTTTTTTTTTTAAATTTCATATCTTTATAATTTTCATATCTATCTATCTATCTATCTATCTATCGCAGTCTGTTCAGTATCTATATATTTATCTATCCGTTCATTATCTATCTATTTTTCTGTTCATTACCTATCTATTTATCTATCTGTTCATTATCTATTTTTCTGTTCATTACCTATCTATCTATCTTTCTATCTCAGTCTGTTAATATCTATCTATCTGTTCATTATCTATTTTTCTGTTCATTATCCATCTATCTATCTATATATCTACCTCAGTCTGTTCATTATCTATCTATCTATCTATCTATCTCATTCATTGACTCTATATGCTATCCTTATTTCTGTTCATTATCCATCTATCTATCTATATATCTATCTCAGTCTGTTCATTATCTATCTATCTATCTATCTATCTGTTCATTATCTATCTATCTATCTATCTATCTATCTATCTATCTGTTCATTTATTTGTCTATCTATCTATCTGTTCATTATCTATTTTTCTGTTCATTACCTATCTATCTATCTATCTATCTATCTATCTATCTGTTCATTATCTATCTATCTGTTCATTATCTATTTTTGTGTTCATTACCTATTTTTCTGTTCATTATCTTTCATCTATCTATCTATCTATATATCTCAGTCTGTTCGTTATCTATCTATCTATCTGTTCATTTTTGTCTATCTATCTATGTTCACCATCTATTTTTCTGTTCGTTACCTATCTATCTATCTATCTATCTATCTATCTATCTATCTATCTCAGTCTGTTAATATCTATCTATCTATCTGTTCATTATCTATTTTTCTTTTCATTATCTATCTATCTATCTATCTATCTATCTATCTATCTATCTATCTATCTATCTCATTCATTGACTCTATATGCTATCCTTATTTCTTTTCGCCTTTCTTATCTTCGCCTTTTCCTGAATCTTCTATTCTTATTTTTTCTTTTTTCCACTTTTCCTCGCCTTTTTCATCAACTAACCAAGTTACAACAGTTTATCTCATCCTTGTCGCCAAACTCTTGTAACTGAGTTATCAAAAACAACAGCAGAAAATCGGAATTGGTTTAACAAGTTTATTATCTTTTGGTACAAGGAAACATAATGTAGAATAGAAACTAGGGAATGTTTAGCCGTGAATGACTGTTTTCAGCAAAGACTACTGCTGCTACTGCTACTCCTGCTAATCCTCTTGATGTAGGAGTATTTTTATCTCTTTCGACCGGCGGCCGAATCTAAATTTGTAGGAATATATTCTCCCTCACAACACTTTGTTACAATAATGTTTCACTTTCTTTTTCATCCGATCATCTACCCCCTTTCTTTCTTTCTTTCTTTCTTTCTTTCTTTCTTTCTTTCTTTCTTTCTTACAATAGTTTTAGACGGTTTTCCCTTCTTTCGTTACTGTCTTTCTTTGTTTGAATAATTTTACACTTTCTTTTTCGCCTTTTCATTACCGTCTTTCTTTCTTACGATAGTTTCAAACTTTCTTTCTTTTATTTGAGTTAAGCATTGTTCTCCGCTGTTAAGGCATTTACTTTTATGAAACACGTGTGGAGAAGTTAATTTGATTTTTCAATTTCAACTGAGAAGGGTACCTACAAGTATCAGTATCATCAAATTTATATGATCTTATTTTTATATTAATCTCAGTTATGACATTTTTCCATAAATGAAATATCAAAATTAATAATAAAATGAATGGAAATACAAATAACACAGTAAAATGTAATAAATGTATATAAAATTGTAGTATTTTATGTACACTTCTGATAAAATTTCAAAAGAAAGATACATATAAATTAATTAGATACTTTTCTTATGAAATATGAAATTTAATCTCACTCTTAAAAGACTTATTTTAATTTCTTTATAAGATATTTTCCATAAAGCATCGTAAACGTAAAGGTGAAAGCTAAGTACAAAAAAATTAGAGCGCCGTTTTTCTTAAAAATAACGAGGTAAATAATTTGTTCACTTAAATGTAAATAATTTCACTTTTCTCCTTCCGTAGAACAAATTATCCTCACGGAATCCGTCAATATGTCATTCATCACCTGTCAAGTGACGTGAAAGTTTATGACCTGCTTTGTTTTATTTTCAAATTACATCTTTTCGGCGCAGAAGCTAAGTTAAGATTGATTCAAAATATTTTAAATAAATATTATAATTTCTGATTTTCTTAAAATAAGTTTTGAAAACATGATAATTGATCTTTAAAAGATTTTCAAATTGCGATTTTCAGTTTTTTTATAAAATGGAAAAAAAATGATCAATTTTGCTGACTCAAAAAAACAAGATTTTTAACGAAGATTTCGGGCGTGCTAGGAACGATTAAAAAATGTTACAAAATACCCTAAAAATACTTTGATCTTTCCTCTTAATAATAACATAAACATTTAGATGATAAAATTTTGTTTTCGTCAAGTTTGGCGTCTTTTTCATCATACTATGCTCCTTTTTTAGCGATCTCGTGGAGGTACCTAACTAAAAACAATAATGTTTAAGCAATGAAATATGTCGGATTAATAAATGAAAAATCAATTCCCTTATATATATATATATATATATATATATATATATATATATATATATATATATATGTTAACAAAAAGTAAAATTTTCTTATCTCTCTACTCTGGTGTTCGCCGAAATGGCATTCACTTTTAATATGCTTTTTAGTGGAATTCTATTTTACTATCAATCCCGAAATTGACTAGTGGATAGTATCTCCGCGAAACTCGGATAAGGACAGATAAGTAAATATTTAATTTTATTTGATACTATTATTGGCTTATCTTTTGATATCGAACACTTTAATTAGAAAGACTCTTTGCCTTAAACTCAGAATCTTCCAGAAATAACTTGGTCGAAGCTTTGTTTTTATACAAATACACACTCACACACATAGATAGATAGATAGATAGATAGATAGATAGATAGATAGATAGATAGATAGTGACCGGACTGGAAGAGATACATGATGAATAGATAGATAGATAGATAGATAGATAGATAGATAGATAGATAGATAGATAGATAGATAGATAGATAGATAGATGAGGATGGGGGGAGATAAGAAAATAAGGAAAAAACTCGCGTCTGATTACGAAGGTGGCTGTGCCATCAGAACTCAAAACAATCTTGAAAGAGTGAGAGAAATTATATAATTAATAGGACATTACCCGGGAGCTGAGGAACATCTAAAATTTGAAGTTAAAATCGTACCGATAACGCCATTGGAATTGTGTCAAATGCACATGAGCCAGAAAATGGATAACATGTGACGCGAGTAAACATTGAGACTCTACAGGAGTTGCCAGGTTCTACGATTATACACAGACATAGACAAGAGGAATCTTTTTTATTTTATTTTTTGCTTTCATTATACTATTAACTCTCCCAATCTAACTGTTATTTTTACAGGTAAAAACAAAACAAAAAAAAACATTCAAAACATAAAACTCTTTTCTGTATTTTTTTATTGTAAGAATGATGTTCGTTGAATTGAAAGAAAAAAACAAAAAAATGCCTTATTTTGCACCCAATATATTATTAATATGTTCACTTGGAAATGCTAAAGATTTTGAATGACTACACTGGAATCCAGTGTCATTCCACATGTGTTTTTCCATATTCAAGGTCAGTGTAACAAAAAACGAATATACACATTATTGTAGCATGATTTTGACAATGGTAGGCATTATTACATTCATTGTATCCAGATATGGAGGCCACTTGTTCACAAACAAAAGAAGTTGAAAAAGAATTAAATCTAAAAGATAATTTTAGCATTTAAAAGGATAAACATTGAACAAAAATCTAGCTAGCTAGCTAGATAGATAGATAGATAGATAGATAGATAGATAGATAGATAGATAGATAAACAGCGAATAGCCTGAAATAAGCATTGAACAAAAACTAGATAGATAGATAGATAGATAGATAGATAGATAGATAGATAGATAAAGATAGAAAGTAAAACAGCGAAAATATATATATATATATATATATATATATATATATATATATATATATATATCCGAAGCGATGAGAACGAAAGTAATATATAAATTCCAACTTTCACAGCATTAATCCAAAAGAGGTCTCGATACCGATAGTAGAGCGATAACTATTTTAGATTCTCACCGTCGGAGTGCAGTTGAAATGCACTGAACCCAAGTTGCATCTTTTAGTGAGTAAAAATGATAAAATATATGATAAAATTATAATAAATATATATATATATATATATATATATATATATATATATATATATATATATATATATATATAATCAGAGTTGAATCAGATCAGAAAACAGTGGTATTAAAAAGTGCTTAATATACGTGAAAAAAATATAAATAAAAATAACATGTAGAGCTTTTAACTTTAAAAATCAGGAGGTCAATTAAAATACGCAAACATGGTTTCGACCTTATGGTATCTTCTGGCAATTCTTTTAAAATGACCACTTTAACGCTTTATTAAAAAAAACACAAAGATAATTATGTAGTGTTCTTTGTGTTATATAGCGTGATCAACAATTTGAACAAGGCCACCACGCTCAAGCTTCCGGGCATGATGAATTGTGGCTTTGTGCTAGCCCCTGGTAGTTCTGTCTACCCAATTTCATTCACAGACAGACAGACACACGCACACACACACACACACACACACACACACATATATATATATATATATATATATATATATATATATATATATATATATTAAAGACATTTTATGTTTAACGTTCTTTTATAGATACAAGTATTTAAGTAAAAAGAACGTTAAACATAAAATGTCTTTAATAAATAAATTGTCGGACTTTGTCCATTTCTTAATATATATATATATATATATATATATATATATATATATATATATATATATATATATAAAAGGAAACAGACAGACAGCAGCAATGACAGAGAAAGCAATGAATTATGATAGACATAAATAGATAAAAGATTCTAAAAGAACGTTAAATAAAGAGACTGGACAATCTATTAAGGTGGATGGCAAGGCAAACAGATGGAGATCAAATAAAAGAATGTAGTCTTCCTATTATAAGGTTTTTAAGAAAATGATTCGTTTTAAATTCTCAGATACTTAATCGATTCTCCACAGCCTCCACAGCTATTTCTATTAATCTTTTCCTTCGGCTATTTTTTTTTTATATCTTCAAGAAAACCCAATAATGCTGCATTATTTCATATTAGTCAGTCAGGTCTGTTACGTTATACACGCTTAAGCGATCATGTATCTTTTGATACGTGAATGACGAGGCAGATTTTTTTCCCACACTAGGTTGCCATTTCTTTCCGCGGTAAATCAGTTGCCATCCAAAGCTATAGAACCCGGCCTGTCCTGCTATTTAACCATAGCTGGGAGGAGAAGAAGAGGATTCATAACTTTCCCAAACTGTTAGCACATAAGTGAATGGATTCGACCGGAATTCGAACTAAGCTCTCCGATGCCTCAATCCAAGCCGCTATCCATTACTCCACCATATATCCAAATTCCATTGACAGAAATTACAATAAATATTAAAATTGTATTTCTCTAAATGTGTCACAGTGAGGTTTTATTCAAACTCTGCGATTTCATATGTGTGTCTACGAGATGTATGCGTGTAGGACAAGGGTGCGACGAAATATCCCATATCTAAAACAATCTAAAAAACAATTAATTTGATGTTTGATTCCTGTCAAGCAACTGAATGTTTGCTTTTAATTTCAGCTGTATCAGATTTTGACGAATTTTTATTTACTTACTTAGCTAAAGATTTATTAAAATATTTTATGATTTAATGAAATAATGCAAATTATGCAAACAGTCCATCGCCATTATGCGCTGGTGAGGTCCGAATCCTCGTCATTAGGGATTAGGCCTTTGAAGAAGATTTTTCAACTATCATGTAACTCGAGACCCTTTATTGAATTTAGTTCAGTCTTGCACAATATATTTAAAGAGGGGAGGACGAGGAAACCCACAGCGAGAGTCCACATTGTTAACTATAACCTTAATATATATATATATATATATATATATATATATATATATATATATATATATATATATATATATATAGTTATACTCGTCCGGAAAAACCTTAGGTGTTTGGGCTTGTAAATGAACAAACCAATGCCCAAGGAAAATATTAGATAAAAAAAGAAAGAACTAAAACATGTAATAGGGGTGAAAACAATTGTCTAGAATCCAAGCTCAGAGTCTAAAGAAAAAAAATACCTCCAACACGAGTAAATCAAAAGTAAAGTGCTCAATACACTAAGTAGAACAAATCTAACTATGAACTTAAAGAGCCAGGCAAACCTACCTAGGTTTCACCTAAGCGGATCGTCAGTGCACCCTGACGATCCGCGTAAATGAAACCTAGGCAGGTTTACCTGGCTCTTTAGGTTCATACTTATATATATATATATATATATATATATATATATATATATATATATATATATAGAGAGAGAGAGAGAGAGAGAGAGAGAGATAGATAGATAGATAGATAGATAATATTAGTGATCAATATATATATATATATATATATATATATATATATATATATAAATTTCAAAAAGGATTGAATCCAGGTAGAGTTCAATGTACAGTACAGAGCAAGAATATATAAAAAGTCTCAAACACTATATATATTCCGTTTTGTCGTTATTTTTCTAAATACAATGTATTAAAGTAATTGCTGAGTCTTATAATTAAACAGTATTAATAACATTTACTGCCCTGATTTTTCGAGAAATTTCGTCGAAAATATGCTTTTTCCGACAGTAATCGAACCTGAATTCCGATATGGAGTGCGTCATTTGAACGAACTTGCCATACCATTCAGCTACAGAAAAAAACTTCTACTTAGCAAAGTCCGAATTACTGTTTATAAACACACAATACTTGACGATTTCTTTCGATCGATCATTTTTGCTCACGAAACGTAACCTAACGTAAACAATGACAACATATATTGAAATGAATTAAGCCCGATAATTATTAAATATATTTTCTGTTTATACGTTATTTTTATAGATACAATGTATTTAAGTAAATGCTCTGTTTTTAATTAAACGGTATTAATTACATTTACAGACTTGAATAATGAAGAAATTACGTCGAAAATACGCATTCCCTGAACAATGGAACGACAAGTTTGCCTACGAGACTCTGGAGTCGTGATGCTGAAGCTAACATCAATCAGCTAAGTGACAAACTTTTTCTGAGATTAATTCTATACCTACATATAAAATAGAATAGATCCCAGCGTTCGCCACATTTGGAAAGTGCCTGAAAACCATACCACCCAAAATTTGTGAGTGAAATTGGGTAGACGGAGCACTTGGGGGCCGTCGATAGCTGTGCTAGTACGAAGTCATAATCATCACTTAGTGTGCTGGCCTTGTTCAGATTGTTGATCATGCTAGATAACACGCGCTCTCCCAGAAACTGTAACTAAGATCTGCTCAGCATAGTTGCAGTATAAACGACTGGTGGGCTCTGTGTCTGAGCAAGCGTCGTAATAGACCGGTATCCTCGAATACAAGTGGTCAGCTTTCATATATAATACTATTTTTAAAGCTGGACAGGAGTCGGTCAAGATAGCGGCTAACTCAAGATGGTTGTTGTCAAAACGGTAAGAGTGAAGCTAGCAGTGTTAGATTAGAACATGTACATACCCACTACAAAATTGTACATCTTGTTTCAACGTTAAAAATTGTATAACGTTACATCAGGTGGGAAATCACGATGCTACTCCACCTGATGAAACCTAAAAGAATTTTAACGTTGAAACAAGATTTACAGTTTTGTAGTGGGTATGTTCTAATGTAACAATGCATAATCAATAAATATTTATTGATATACTTTTGTATTAAGCCCTGTTTTAAATTAATATCTTGAACGCTGAAATCTTAACATTAATCTTCGTTCTTTACGTTATATATATATATATATATATATATATATATATATATATATATATATATATATACATGGTTAATGAGTAATGTTTATATGTATATTTTATCTATATATATATATGGATATTATATATATGTATCTGAATATATATATATAATATATATATATATATATATATATATATATATATATACATATACATCTGTGTTGCCAAAATTGGGTGAAAATTTTGTGTGAATTGATTGGACAGTTTTTGAAATATTAGACATTTGAATAATAATTTGGCACGCAGTATATATATATATATATATATATATATATATATATATATATATTGCATTTACTATTGACCATAGAATAGGCTGTACCGGGGGGTAGTTTTTCCCCAGCCCCGCAAATCGCTACAAACCCAAATTCGGATTATCTTTTAAATAGGCTCGTCAGATCCAGATTTACCTGTGGTTGTCCTGCATGGTGCAAATGCTGTCGAGAAATATCTGAACTGTCAGCTCTCTACAACCACTCTTTAAAATCGATGGTTAAAAATATCTTTGTGCGAGTGAAGACTTGAACGTTATGGATTGGAGCTACAGAATCGCAAGCGACAAACTGTGCGAAAATAATATATATATATGCTTAATGAGTAATCCTTATATGTATATATGTATTTTTTCTCTCTCTCTCTCTCTCTCTCTATATATATATATATATATATATATATATATATATATATATATATATGAATGAATATATATATATATATATATATATATATATATATATGTATGAATATTATATATATATATATATATATATATATATATATATATATATATATATATATAGTTTATGCAAAAAACTAGGTAATCCGTATGGTAGACCCAAGGAGGATGATATCCAGAGAGCTCAATGTAAATTCAGAGCAAATAAATTTGAATAAAACAGACCACT